GACTCCTCTAACAAAATGTTCACCTGTGCAGTAGTATCGTTTTTGGAGCGGGAAGCTCAAAATAACGCAAATTTCTTACGCAGATTGTGAATTTATAAGTGCATTTCAGACTTTGCCGATGCGCTCATCGTGATTTTTGAGGCATTATCTATAGGAAACAACTCCTCATTCTGCTCTAGCAAAAGTTTGCAACAGGCCCATTGTATATTAATATAATCATCTTAAAATTTTTAAATTATTATATTTTTGAATTATGTGTGTGTCTTGAATATTTTCATTTTTCGAGTTGGTGTGTTTTCGTCCTCACTGATTCAATTTTAATATAGCACATAGAAGAGTTACGTCTTTATTCATGGGGTCGTATCTCACGAACAAAAACGTATGGGTTGATGGATGATATGGGCATTTCCAATTAATGGTGGTAGTACCCCCATTAATTGTAATAGTGCCGCAGTTAACGGTGGTAGTACCCCAATTAGTTGTGGTAGTACCCCAGTTAGTTAGGTCATAAACCCAAATGTTACGATGCAACCACAATTAATTGGCAATGCCCATATACTCAGACAAATTGGGGTAGCACCAAACTTTTAGGAGAAAACCTCTAAAACTTTTTTTCCAAGTCATAGTCGCTCCTAAAGTTGCCAATTTCCTTAGGACGCTTCATATTCTTGACGCTGTATTTAAGGAATATTAAAGGAGATCCTTACCATGGCCTTACAAAAAGTTTAACGAGTTAAGTTAACGTTTAAATTCAACGAGGTAACTTTGGAAATAGATAGTTTCATGGAACGCCAGTGGTTTCCCAAGGCGGCCCGATCATTGGCGATCATGTCTCACATATCTCCGGCAGGGTTGTCAGACACGTAGTCTTCGATACACCACCACGAATCAGACAAACTGAAACAAACACAAACACGGAAACAGAGCAAAGGAGAAGACGCGCGTTGATGACGGCGCAGAGATACAACTATTCGTACTTGACGGACGTCCGTGTTGTATCCGACCAATTGAAGGCGCGATGGCGCGAGGCGCGCATTTGTAATCCCCCGCTTCATGTCACCAACGAAATTTCGTTCAGATTTGGGGAAGATGTTGCAAAAACGAGGCGCGATTACGGTTCTCTTACCCTCGACAGTGTTGCTCACGTAGCCATTGAAGCTTTAATTCAAATAGGACAAACAGAACAAACACCCAAAAAAATAAGAAAATAAAAAAAATAAAAATAAATTGGAAATAGAGCCAAGGAAAGGACGAGAGATACAACTTTTCGTACGTAATGGATGGCCGTGTTGCAGCTGCAAAATTGAAGGCGTGAACTTGCGGCGACTGGTGAGTCGTAGCCCATATTCCACAGAAAAGTTATCAAACGAGGCTCGAATATGTCTCTCATATATTAGTCTAAAAAAACATCAGGAGAGGGCAAATTTAGAGTTACGCATTTTATGAACGGCCCCTCAGAGGAAACTATGACGAAATATGAAAATCTGGGTGGCTAGATTGCCCACGTGTAATCATCTAACCCTCAAACGAGTAAGCGATCAAGCTTACGTCAAGTTGATGGAAATGAAATTCGCGAGGACACGCTCTCACTTGTGAAAAAACACCTTCTCACATTTCCAAGTATTTGCGCACATACACACTCACCCTCTTGCAAATTCACGCGATGACGCGACGCACGGTGGCTCGAGTCAATGAGAGATCTCGGACATGAATTTTTTTTACTAAAACCGCAAATTTCCACGTTTGTTTCGTCACATTTTAAATTTTGAGGGATGCTTCTGGCAAAAAATTTTACGAGAAAACCAATGGAACCACTTTTATGACCTCGAAGTTTTGTATGAACGATGTTACGAAGTTTTCAAATTTTGTCCAACTTCCCCAATTGACTAGATCCATTGTGCGACGAAGTGTCATGCGCGGGGCTCGAAATCAAAAAGATGAATCCGAACTTCATTTTTGAGAGTCGAGCCTGAAATTTTCATCAGGCGCGGCTCATTAACTGAATCTGCTCGTGAAATTTTGATGAGCCGAAAGATTTTTCTCAGCGGCGATGAGCGGCGTTGCCACTTCGCTCTCTTAATCATTCTCGGCGTAACTGAGGATTCGCGGATTTGTGACCAAAACTGGCAACACCGCACCAGGCTCCTGCTTAATCACAGCGTAGTCGTGAAAACGGAAGTCCTTTTCACGATCCAAATATGCACAATTTTGATCCTTAGAATAGTAGAATATTGCCGTGCCAAGGAAAAACGCCGTATGAACCTTCAGGCGTTGCCAAATTTCCTTTGATAAAACAAAAATTTTCCGGTAAACTTGTGGATTTTTTCCTTCTAATTTTTCAGATAATTTTGATCGCAATTTCACCTAAAATTCCTTAAAATTTTAAGGAAAAATATTCATAACTTGCCTAAAAAGTAAATATTTTATCGAAGGAAATTTGGCAACTTTCGAATGTTCATACGGCGTTCTTCCTTAGCGCGGCAGAATAGCAGTCCTTAGAATAGATTAATCAAGCAGCTACGTCATTTTTGCGTGTAGCTCGAATCAGAAAGATGGGAAATAACTGCATGTCTCAATTCTGGGTGAGATAATTACGTTACTTGGTTAAAATTGTGTCATTAACAAGTCATGATTCAATTAAGGGCTCATTAAACAGGAGAAATGTTGAAGAAACCAGACCCAGTCGAAGGGGTTCTCCAGGAAAAAATTTGAAAATTGGATACCCATAGAACGCAATTCTCGATGTTTTTACACTTGAATATAAAAAAACAACAACAATGACAAAGAAAACTTTAGAATGGGAGGGGGATACTTGTCCTTGTTACCTCCATACTTACGCCACCACTGTAAAAAAAAGTCCGTGCCCTCTATCTTCCTTTCTTAGGCTACTTTTTTTTAAAACGTTTTAAAATGCTTTAAAAATAGTGTATATTTTACCAAAGGAATACATTTCAAGAATCTGTCTCAGTCTTTCAAAAGCTACAAGGGAGAAAATGTTACGTAATTTTAACCACCCTGTGCATAAAAAAAGTTGAAACCTTTTTCCGAGTTTTAGAAATCTTTATAATTGCTTATTTTCACAGCATAGTTCTTATTACGACAAAAATGATGGGAGCAAATGGATTAAATTTTGCAACAAGGAACCACATTTTCTGGCTTTTCCATAAAAGCACGCATCTGCATAGGGAAACCGATGGCATATACGTTTCTTTTAAAATGTGACAAAAATAATGGTTCCTTATTGCAAAATTTAATTCAAACAATGAAATTTGTTTAAATTAATGAACCGGAAACAGAAACTCGAACATGCTTAATACTCTTGATGTTAAGAAACGAAGATACTGTTTATGATGAGATTTGACAACTTGCGTCACGCTGTATTACATTATGCGTGACATTTTGGAGGCGGAAATTTAGCTGAAATAGATTTTTATGAGTTGCAGACTATATGGATATCAGATAGCATTGACGTCAAAAAAATTTTTTTTTGCCCTCTACTTTAATGAAAATGACTCGAGGTCGGCACCAGCCTCACGGGAAAGCTTTTAAAAAGTAGTGATATTCTACCGGGCCTTGCAGTTGTTTCAAAATACAATTCAGAGATGCATCTCTGTCCCTAAAATGTATCCCTAATTTTCCTACAATCAAATCCGATCAATGGATGTCACCGTTTCTTGAACTTAGACTTAAAAGCTGATATTGAACTTTTGCTATTATTCTATTCTTTTAATTATGAAAAATGTAAACCCGGTGTTTTTTCCTCCCCACTGAAAGCTGCGTAAATATATTACCGTGAATTACCGATACATGCACATAGATGGACTGAGATAATCTGGACACTAAAAGGAAGTGCAATGCGGGTTGTGGAGTTCAAAATATTGTTGTGCTTGCAAATGATGCCCTTCATCTCTTCAGACTTTACCCTGACAACTAATGAGGATGCAGTTTCTGGCCCTGATAAAACGGTGAGTACATGCCTATCTTATAATGTTTACACTGTGTCTCATGCAACGCGCGTTGATGACGGCGCAGAGATACAACTATTCGTGCTTGATGGATGTCTGTGTTGCGTCTGCAAAATTGAAGGCGCGACGGTGCGAAGCATGAACTCGCAATGTTCCGCTCTATGCTGCTAATGATTTATCACTTCGATTTGCCAGGGAAGTTAAAAACAAGGTACTGCCGTGCTACGGAAGAACGCCGAATGAACATTCGAGAGTTGCCGAATTTCCCTGGATAAAACATGTATTTTTGACGAAATTGTTGTATATTTTTCCTGCAAATTTCCAGATGTTTTAGAATAAATAGCGAACAAAATATTTTACGAAATTTGAAGAAAAATATTTACAATTTCCCCAAGAAATTCATATTTTATCAGAGGAAATTTGGCAAAACCTAGAGATTCTTACGGCGTTCTTCCCTAGCATGGCATAATACGTCTCTCCTACGTTCGGCTATGTTGCTGACGTAGCTCTTGAAGCATCACCACAAACACGACAAACGGAACCAATACAACATGGGAATAAAGCTGGAGAAAAGGCGTGCGATAATAACGGCGCAGAGATACAATTATTCGTGCTTGATGGATGTCCGCGTTGTATCTGCAAAATTGAAGGTGCGATGGCGCGAGCAATGGTCTGCTCTATGCTGATGAAGATTTATCGCTTCGATTTGCTGGGGAAGTTAAAAACAAGGTCCGAATACATCTCTCCTACCTTCGGCTGTGTTGCTCACATAGCTCTTGAAGCATCACCATAAACAGGACAAACAGAATCGGTACAACATGGGAGTAAAGCCAAGGAAAAGGCGTGCGTTGATGACGGCGCAGAGATACAACTATTCGTGCTTGATGGATGTCCGCGTTGTATCTTCAAAATTGAAGGCGCGATGGCGCGAGCAATGTTCTGCTCTATGCCGCTGATGAGTTCAGATTCGGTGACGTTGAGCTCGACGGCTGTGCGCTTTAACTCATGAGCCCTATCTACAACGCTTTTGTCACATGCCCACGGCTCATGAGATAGGATATTTTGCTCTATTTTATTAGCTTAGTTCTTTTTGAAGTCAAATCCCATTTTTGTCATTTGCTGAAAGGAATCTCGCCCTTGTTTTTCATTGTTTTGTATGCAGCTCACTACAGCACTGCCGTGCTAATGTAAAACGCCGTATGAACATTTGACAGTTGCCAAATGTCCTTTGATAAAATGTTTATTTTTGAGGAAAGTTATGAATATTTTTCCGAGAAATTGTCAAGAACTTTAGGTGAAATTGCGAACAAAATTACGTGAAAAATTGGAAGAAAAATATTCACGAATTCTCCCGAAAATTCGTGATTTACCAACGGAAATTTGGCAACAACTGAAGGCTCATACAGCGTTTTCCCCCTCCTCTTTCCCACTCGTCTCTAGTTCCTTTTAGCGCATATTCGTCCGATTATAATATCACTTCGACAATTCTTCCTGTCACAGAATCATGCTGACCCGCCACCTATCTCGAACCCAAACACCGGTTACGTGAAGGACGAATATCACCAACTCCGGGAGGATTTGTACGCGGCGGCAAAGAACGACCCGTGTTCAAGATTGCATTCAAAGTCCACACTCGCTGAAATCCGGGAGGCCAATCGACTTTGCGGGCTCACCCTCGAGAAGTTCAAAGGCCTACCCAAAGAGGAAACGAAAAATTGCCAGGAACCGAAGAATCCTCAATGCGTGCCTCATAAGGAAAAACGCGGTAGGAAATGGAGGACCGTGTATGACTGTTGCTATGAGGTTCGTCATTAACCTTCACTATAAAAAACATGTCTTATTACTATTTTTTTTTAGAATGGTAAATTCATAAGAGAACAATTAGATTGCATTTTGCAAAAAGGAACCAAGAGAATTCTATGTCGCCGGGATTGTGCAACATACATGCTTTGCAATGAAATTACTAAAACGATGAAACAAATCAGATTTACAAAGGTGATTTTCGTCTTGAATTCATAGTTTATCGAGAGTTAAGATAAAACGTGTATCGGTGATCGGTTTATATTTGCAGGGTGAAGAAAGTTGCACAATCTTAGCGACAGTGGAATGCTTTTGGTTCCTTTTTGCAGAATGCATTCCAATTTTAACTTATCAAACGGAGAAATTTGGATGAAAAAATGAATTTCTAACATGAAGCTTCATCGACTAATAGTACTTCCACCGAGCTACATATCCTGTTCTGACATACTGAGTAAAAACGCCGTATGAACATTCGCATGTTGCCAAATTTTCTCAGAAAATATTTATTTTTGAAGGAAGTTATGAATATTTTTCCTGGAAATTCTTAGCCTTTTTAGATCAAATTACAAGCAAAGCCCTCTTAAAAACGGAAGAGAAATTTTCACAAGTTTTCCTGAAAGTTTGTGATTAGTCGAAGGAAATTTGGCAAGGCTTAATGGCTCATACGGCGTTCTTCCTTAGCACGTGACAGTACTCTTCACAAATCAGCTCATCCTCTTTTTTTCCGTGTTTTCTGATAACATCCATCAGCAATCAGCATGATTGGTTGGCAGAGACTACAATATTTTAGAAACCCCGTGGCACAGATTACAATATGTTACCATAGAGTATTTTGACTAAATTCTGCAATTTTAGGAACTACTTTTCCTGGATAATTTTTAAAAAAGCGCATGTCCCATTGATTTCCCTATGCAGACGTTTATAAATGAACCAGAAATCGTAGCTCTGAAATGCAAAAAAAGGTCAATTTAAAGGATGCTCCTGATTTTTTTTTCCTTTTCTTTCAAGGCATTTTCTTTAAATATGACGCAACTACTACAAGTATTTCCTTGTATCTATCTACATGGTTTAAAACTAAAACTAAACGAATTGCATGAAATTCATAGAGTAACGTTAGATAATACGATGATTATCTAAAAAAAACAGGAATCGTACAATTCTCTGCCTTCTTTTTTAGAGGTATTAAAACAAGAAGGTTTTTAGTTTAATTCTTTCACATTCTTCCTGTTCCTAATTTTCCTATCGCATCTTACAGGTTATTTTCAAAGCATTTGAAGGCTCGATTCCAACAAAGCCCTTTAAGTCTCCAATTCGCGACTGCTTCGCGAACATCAAATGGGATTCCTTCTTTTTTGGACCACGACCCTTTGCCGCCAGTCCTGATCTTTCACGCAAGTTAAGTCGCCGGTCTGTAACCCTCTCGGATCGCATGTGGATGCTCATTTTGTGCATTAAGAGTCCGAAGAAGGCAGATATTTACAACGACCCCGTATTTGAGGGTAGGATCGGGATGATTGGGAAACATCCTTTTTCATCCAAATCCTCGCGCATAACTGAGAATGACCGATTGTAAGAGCGTATTTGAACCAAAATTGCCAGATCGTGCTGCTGGAACAACACATTTTCCCATTCTGCCATGGTAAGGAAAAACGCCGTATAAACCTTCAGGTGTTGCCAAATTTCCTTTCAAAAGACGCGAATTTCCTGGTAAATTTATGACTATTTTCCGCCCAATTTTTCAGATAATTTAGTTCACAATTTTAACTAAAGATTCTGAAAATTTAAAGGAAAAATATTCATAACTTTCCGCAAAAATGAACATTTAATCGCTGGAAATTTGGCAACTCTCGAATGTTCATACGGCGTTTTTTCTTAGCATGGCAGCATTTAACTCAATATAAACTTTAATGAATCGATACTAAGTATTGTCATAGAGTAATTAGTAATTGAGTGAACCAAAGGAATGTGAATTTATAACTTATAAATTACTGTTAAGGACTTCCCGACTTGACAGCCATCATCAGTGTTTCATTACATATTACGTCACATCACTAAAATAAAATGTCCATAATGTTTTTATGGTGTTGCCAAGTTTGTTATACTTTATGTTTTTATGATGTGACAGTGACGTATGTAATAAAGCTATGATTATGACTTTCAAATCAAGGATCCTTTGGACATAAAGTCAGTTATAAATGTACAGCGCCTTGGTTCATTCAATCACTTATTTCAACGTAAAATATCCATAGGTCTTCACCCAGCGTGGCAATTATTATTGGAACCAAGTTCAACGGAAAGGAATCAAATCACATCAAGATAGAACCAAGAAGAAGAGATTTAAAGATGCACTTCTCCATGAAACGCAATGTTAGAAATAAGGTTCAGTGCCTTTTTTACATTCAAAATATTTCCTTTACCTCAAAATTTTGTCACAAGGAAATAATAATCATTTTAGCTTCAATAAACGACTCCAAGCTCTTTTTTCCTAATTTTAGTTTGGTGAACTGTTCATTTCAGTGCAGTTCCTTTGAACTTTCCTTTATTGCAAAAAAGCTTGTTTGATTATTGTAACTTTGCAAGTCCCTGCCTCAGTTTCGATCTGTTTCTTTCAAAAAAGTGACCGCTGTGGTTTTTGCGGAAATTTCTTGAGAATCTCCCTCGTTTATTCAACTGTATTCCCAATGCATTTTCAGGAGATATTTTGGTTAGTTTATGTTTGATAAAAGAGAACATATTATTGGAGATATTCTAACGTTAGTAATGAAGACTTGCACTATATGCATCTAACCATCGGTATTCATATTCTTAGCTTTACACTGGAGGAAAAACACATTGGATCTAGAGTCCAGACTCTTGAAAACATTGACAAAGAAAAAGGACTCTTGATTCAAGCAGATTTAAGCTTAAAAAGGAAATCCGCTCAAAATAAGAGGCTTGGTTCTTGATTTAAGCTTAAATCTGATTAGATCAAGAGTAATTTTTTCTTGTCGATATTTTTAAGAGTTTGGACTCTAGATCCAATGTGTTTTTTTCCCAGTGCACCTTTAAAATCCAAAATCCTGAGCTTTGATCTTGGTTTACTTATTCAAACGCCAAGAATTGAAATTCGATTTTTTTTCAAAGTTTCAAACACACTGCTAAAAATAGAGAGGATACTGAAGACAGCACGCGTGTACACTTAGTCTAACAATAAAAACATTGAAACCCGATGCGGTGGGAGGGGAGGGGAGCTAAAATATCTCATGGTTTAGCAAGCTTCAACCATTTCACCGATATGAACATGAGCGTCGTAAGTTGAGGCTTTTCCGGTTGACCGTTGAATAATCTCTTCCGATAAGCATGCGCCATTTCCGGCGGAAATCCAATTAACATTCGGGACTCGAACTGCTCCAGGTCCGTCTCGTCGCGTGAAGATCGATTTAGCCTTCAGCGCGATATATCGTTTCGATGTGACTATATGAATGGACCATGTTTTGCCGAAAGGAACCACTATATCTGACGCATTTTAGAAACAACTTATATGCCATTAGTTTTCCTCTGAAGAAAGGCGCTTTTACGAAAGAGCGAGAGATAGTGGTTCCTTATAACAATCCAAATAACAAAGAATATGTCGAAGGGTAAGGTCGGAAAATGCTCTACCATCGGACCACGTTTTGCAGTAAGGGACCACTATTTCTAGCGCATTTTAGAAACAACATATATGCCATTAGTTTTCCTATGTAGAAAGGCGCTTTTACGAAAGAGCGAGAGATAGTGGTTCCTTATAACAATCCAAATAACAAAGAATATGTCGAAGGGTAAGGTCGGAAAATGCTTTACCATCGGACCACGTTTTGCAGTAAGGGACCACTATTTCTAGCGCATTTTAGAAACAACATATATGCCATTAGTTTTCCTATGTAGAAAGGCGCTTTTACGAAAGAGCGAGGGATAGCGGTTCCTTATTGCAATCCACATAACAAAGAATATATCGAAGGGTAAGGTCGGAAAATGCTAATTGAGAACGCGATGTTGTATTAGTCTTCTTCTTTTTGAGGAAAACCTAACCAACAGTTTGCATGATCCTGCTGCAAATTATGAAACCTCATCATCATCATCATCATCTTCTTCTTCTTCTTCTTCTTCTTCTTCTTCTTCTTCTTCTTCTTCTTCTTCAGACGACTAGTGCATTTTTTTGTTTGTCAGGTCATCCAATACCGAGCACATTAAATTAAAAATATTATAAAAACAAAAAATCGTTGACGGTGAATACAGAGGACAATCAATAAAAAATCAATAAATCAGCAACAAAATTTTCAATCATCCTCAGAAGAAGAGAGCCAGCTTTATGTGCCCAACTTTTAGGCGGTCGTCCAGCGGGCTGATTGTTGGAATTGTTAGAAAAAACGATAGATAAAGAAGACAAAGCGAAGAAGACCGAGCACATTAAATTATAAATATCATAAAAACAAAAAATCGGTGAATACAAAGGACAATCAATAAAAAATCAATAAAACCAGCAACAAAATTTTCAATCACCCTCAGGAGAAGAAAGCCAGCCTTGTGCCCATCTCTTAGGCGGTCGTCCAGCGGGCTGATTGTTGGAATTGTTAGGAAAAACGATAGACAAAGAAGACAAAGAGGATACGGAAGGATCCTATCGGTGGAGGCGGGTGGTTGCAATGGACAAAGGATATAAGTAATAGACTAACTAACGACAACCCACGAGAGACCCTTTGGTTAGTCCATAATTTGCTCCCTTAGTCCATGAGAACCATCCATTTTAACCAATAAGTTCGCTCCATACTCCTAGAGTCTTCCTTGTCTAGCCCTTTGTCTATCCATTTCAACAATCAGCCTGCTCGTAATCTTTACACTAAGGTTTGTCCAGTCCTACAGATTTCCGCTATAGTCTCTTTTCATCCATTCGGTGAACGACCAAAAAACCTATTTCTCAAACATGCACCACCCTCACTGAAAAAAAATTCTCGGCGTTTTTTCCAAGGTCCGTTGGTACTTTTACCAACTCACTTTTTTTTACCAATTATTGGTAATTTCACCAAGACAGACAGGTAAGCTTGCCTAAAACCCGGTATTTTTACTGTTTTTTCAGGTAAGAATACCACTTTTATTGATAATCAATTCCCGGTAACTTTGCCATTTTATCTCGGTAATCCTACCACAGTCGATAAAAAACATCGTCGTTTTTACCGGGGTCCAGTAAAATTACCGAGAAAGTCAATAATCGTACCGAGATTTCTCGGTAAAATTACCAATTCCATAAATGGTAATCTTACTAAGAAAAAACTGGGATCAAATATATCCCTGAATTCTTGGTAATTTTACCTTTTTCTTAGTAAATGCACCGAGATTTTTTTTTCAGTGTTCATCCATTCGGTCAACGACCAAGGAACCTATTTCTCAAACATGCACCACCCTCAGGTTTGTCAACCGCGCATTAGAGGGCTTCGAGCGCCCCGCGTAGCACCTCCAACACCGGTATCGAGTCGTATCGAATCGAGATCGCGGTGGAGGAGGGGGTGGGGGGAGGGGGAGGGACGCATCCTCGGATAGCTACTTACCGACGTGACGTGGCCGGCTTTGCCGGGGGCAGAAAATTGAAGGGCCGCAACGAGGAGCGACGCCGGCGTCCCTAAATCCCTTCATAACAGATCAGAGGGCAAGGGCAGAGGGCACAAGGCAATGATAATCAGAGTATCAACTCGGAGGCTAACCCTTCCCGCCGCCGAGAGGGATGCATGGGCTTTTCCACCGAATGATAATAGCACTTGAATATTTCACAACAAGATGTTAACTCCTCGTTGCTGGCGCGTAGATTATCATTACCCCCCCCCCCCCCCCCCCCCCCCCCCCCCCCCCCCCCCCCCCCCCCNAGCACAGCCACCCCCCTCCCCGCCCCCGCCCGCAATCCGAAGCAGTTTATTACTCGTTTTTAGTTAAATGTTCCATTTTCAGAGCGAATTTTCGTTAGGTCGGAAAGGTTAAAAAGGGTTTCGGCGGAGGGCGGGGTGGGGGTGGGGGGGGTTTGAGGGGCGGAGGCCCCGGAGGAGGCTCTCTCCGCCTAACTACCAATTAAACCGTACGCCAAAGTTGATGATGCGTCGTTGTTTCCACCCTCGAAAATTAAGCTTTTGTTTATTAGTTATTTATTTTGTGGAAATATATTTCGGGGCGGGGAGAGCCTGCGTTGAGAGATTCGAGCCGTCACGCATGTATTATACGGAGGGGGCTTGTTGTTGAGTGGGAAGCTACCGGAGAAATTCGCTTACGTTGAATTTGCGTTTCTGCATTTGAGTCGTGAAAAAGTCACGGCGCGGCGGTACTGCGAAGTAGCCTACATGCCAGCAAAAAATTCACACCGATTTCTTGGGGGAAAAATTATACAGCTTCAGCACGTCATTTTCCAGGCTGGAGAGATAACTCAATTCCAAGGTTGCAAAATGGATTAAAAAATTCAAAATTTTTTATAAAAAATATGGCAGTGTAAAATTAATATTTTGCTGGGTTTTTCATTTATATCAGGATTCATATCAGTAATTTTTTTTAAAGAAAATGTCATCTTTTCTTCTGATTTCCAAGTTTGTTTCCTTCCCTTTAGACGATGGCCATCCAGAGACCATTCAGGGGAAAAGGTAACATTTTCTAAAGAATATTAGAGTAAATTTCGTCCGCAATTTCGCTAACTTTTTGGTGTGATCAGAGGAAAAAGTTTTCAAATTTTCAAATACAATTACTCAACATTTTCCTTGAGAAAAAATGATTCGTGAGTGGAAAACTGGCAACATAAATGTACCTATGTACTTAGATTTTTTGTCTTGAAATTGACGAATAGAATTTCGCCAACACGACCGAAGCTTTTAAAATTTGAAAACTCGACAGGCTGCAGTTTTTGATTCGGAGAAAATCAACGAGACACGTAGTTTTTCAGACTCAACATTAATGTTATGTGCTGCATACGTGGGTTACACGTCAGGAAAGCAATTATCTTTTCCATATGAGAAATAAAATATCAGAAATTCTTCACTAAGAAATGTATTATGGAGAAAATTACAAGCAATCGGGAACCTTCATGAATCGTAATTTTATTGCGGCAAAATCGCTAACTCATTTTGCCAAAATCGGACGCATTTCTGCCAAACGGAACTATGTGCATTAAGACATGAGCCCTGAGACCCATAAGAATATATGCATAACAGGGCTCATGTCATAATGCATATAGTTCCGTTTGGCAGAAATACGTCCAATAGAGAATTTGCAGATGTCTTAAATTTTGCGAATTCCATCTTAAAAATGATACTTCTAGGAAAACTGAGCACGAGGATTTCGTTGGTTTCTAAATTGAACAATTATTGGACAAAATATGACAAAATAACCTAATCTGCTAAAATACATGTGTTTAAATGGAAAGTGCCGCCAGATGACGGCATATGGCGGCACATTTCCTCACTTTTCAATCTATTTTTCTCCAGTTTCCCATGTCAAAAAAAAAACTATGAAAAATACTGCGAACTCAGCTCATGAAGCACTCTCAGATAAAGCAATAAAATTTTTGTGTGCAAATTCTCTATTGTCAATCAGGCAGTACACTGGAAAAAAAACTCATTAGATCTAGAGTCCAGACTCTTAAAACATCGACAGCAAAAAGTACTCTTGATTCAATCAGAATCTTGCTTAAATCAAGAACCAAGCCTCTTAATTTAAGGATTTCGTTTTGATTCATAAGCAAAAATCCGATTGAATCAAGAGTATTTTTTCTTGACAATGTTTTCAAGAGTCTGGACTCTAGATCCCATGTGTGTTTTTTTCCAGTGTATTATTCCTTTGCCCTCGATATGGGCTCGTAACATTGATATTTTCCGCAGAGGACACCCCGTATACCCGGCTAAAATATTCCTATAGAAATCCCTTTGTACGCAGCGTGCGCTTCTCGAAACACAAACACGTCGAGAGCACAACGATGATCTCCTCTTCCCGAAGTTCCGGAGTCCGATTCGAAAGCTCCGAGTGTCAAAGGCCAAAGTGGAGTAGAAAGAGGAAAAGCAGGAGCGCAAAAGGAACNGGGGGGGGGGGGGATTCGGGGAAAGCAACCGCGGGTCGAAATCAAAAAGGAGCGGATGTAGGTTTATATTCGGGCCCGAGCGAGAGAAACGGGGAATAAAGTAATTTTAGACGTCAATTAAAGTAGCTATCAGTTTGGGGGGTAATAATTGGTGCACTGTTAAAGTCAGTGCTGACATTTCACGAAGAACAGAAAATCTTGTTAATAATTCACGGTGATTCTGTCACCCTTCTCCCGAGCGGCGAGCCCGGGCACACGGCTGTCAACCGATCACCGGGGAGAGAAAGGTACCGCTGTTGGGGTCGGGGTCGGGGGGGGGGGCGGGGGGCACTACTTTCTCGTCAGTGCCATTGTGGCATTGCGTCGCTGTGCCTCCGTTGCTGTCGAGAAAGAGATTGTGGCCCTGCTGCCGAAATAGGCGCTTCAACCTTTGAAATCGTGAAATTTCGAATGAGGGAGAATTCGCAGGTGTTAGAAATTTTGAGAATTTCATCTCTAAGAGCATAGACGAATCCGAGGGGGTGTGGGGGGCGTATACCCTCCCTCACATTTTCTCTAAAAAAAGTACACTGGAAAAAAAAAAAAAAACACATTGGATCTAGAGTCCAGACTCTTGAAAACATTGACAAGAAATAATACTCTTGATTCAATCAGATTTAAGCTTAAATCAAAAGGAAATCCGCTCAAATTAAGAGGCTAGGTTCTTGATTTAAGCTTAAATCTGATGGAATCAAGAGTATTTATTCTTGTCGATGTTTTTAAGAGTCTGGGCTCTAGATTCAATGTGTTTTTTTTCCAGTGTAAAGAAGAGAAAGGGAAGAAACAAGAAAGAAGGACGCTTATATTTGGGAATTATCCGTGACGAGATTTACGCAAACTGCATGTTGGATGCTTCAAAATTTCGAAAATTATCTGGAGGAAGCTCCCCCGGACCCTCCCTCCACCCCCATGTTCGAAATGTATAGATCTGCCTATGTTTAAGAGGAAATGAGAAAAAAACCTTCATCTTAATATTTCAATGCAAACTGCCTGAGCTGAACACTCTCTCCCCTCAGTTTTGTACTGGAACTCATTAGAGTTAAAAAAATTATTTTTGACTCTACTTAGTTATGATTTTTGGAATTTCTTGGCTTTGTTTTCCCCGCAAAATAAGGTGGACCCAGTATCATTTATCCACCTTATTCGAGAGAAAACTACTGAGTAAACTGAGCATGATAGTTTCCTTGGCGAAAAAATGAACAATTCGACGTATTCACATCAAAAGGGACTATATCAATTTTGACATGATCCTTAAAATCCATTTGATCACATGCACGATAGGGCTCAGGTCAAAATGGATGTAGTTCCTTTTAACTCACAATTAATGCCCAATTATTGAAGGGATTAAACTAAAGACTTAATCTGCCAAAATAAATGTATTTAAATGTTCGGAAATGCCGCATGATGACGTCACAAGGTGGGAGATTTTTTCACTTTTAAATTCGTATATCCACGATTTTCCATTTCTTAAACAATTAAAAAAATATACTGTGGACGCAGCTCACTGAAAATTCTCAGATGCAGCAATAAAATATTTTCGTCGAAATTCACCATTGGAAGAACTAAAATTAAAGAAGATGAAGATTAGAATGATAAACAACTTAATCAGCTAAAAAACATAAAGTAAAACAACAACTTAGTCTGAGGAAAGGCTGCTGTAAAAGACAATAGATCACGTAAAAAAAATAACCCGGGACGTTCGAAATAATTACAATCCCATTCTCCACCGGAAAAAAGCAAAAAGCTGAGTCGTGAACTTGTTGTTACATGTGCTCAGCGTAGAGCGTGTATAAAAAAAATGGAATTTCAATTTTAAATCAAGGGAACGAAACGGATGTTTTTTTCCCCCCCTTCAAAGAAGGAGCCAAAACTTAACGATCGGGTAATTGTTAAAAATCCAACAATATTGACCCTCTCTCTGTCATCAAAGTGGGTCCCCTCGATGAGTTCGACTCATTTTATGACATGACTTAACGGGCCTTGGAGCGTGCAAGAAAGTATCATTGTGAAATGAAGGTGTAAATATAACTGAGACACAATATCGCACAAACCCTCGGTGCCTCAGCTCCGCATTGGGAACAATTAGGTAATTTTGATATGAAAATTGATCTCTTGCTAGATACTTGCTCGAATGAGGAAAGTTTATGTTGAATAAGAAGGACTTGTATCTCGCTCTTTAGAATTGTATTCGTTTTACAAAAAAAAATAAAAAAAAATTGAATTTTGGCTTACGTCGGTATTCTTTGTCCCACCCAAATAAAATAGTCGAGTTGTTTCAACTAGAGTCCCTTTATACCCAGAGTTAAGACAACTCACTTTTGGTTGGGCCAGGGTTGGGCTGAAAGTGGCCTAAAAAAAAATCCAATTCTGATTGGTTCTCGCTCATGCAGGCCGAAACGAGTGCACCAAGATGGCGGTACCTTGAATGTGAACAAGAGTAATGAAAATATTACCTAATTGTGGTTTATCAAGAGTAAATTGTTATTGCCATCGGTCCAAAATGAAAATAGATTAAGAAATTATTCACAAACCAAATCTCATTTTCTTTTTAATTGATCAATTTGTTGATGTTGTTGTTTTTGTGTGACAGACATCGCAGGATTCCTGATCCATATTCCTCAATATCGTTCGTTTGGGTGCACTCGTCTCGGCCTCCATGGCCAGCCGAGGCCGGCTGCCAGTCAGCTGATAATCGAGTTGTCGTAACTCTGGGTATAAAGGGACTCTAGTTTCAACTTTAAATCAATACCAGAATGTTGATTAATGAAAAAAACTAAAGACAAAAATTTATTAAATCTAAGATTATTAAACACGGTGTTTTCATATGAGCAAAGACCTTATTCAGTTAAAAAACGGCATACCTATTAATGCTCCAAGAACTCAAACAAAAAATTCTTTTAATCTACTATCGATTGACAACGAAGACGCTGATGAACCAGATTACGTCTCCTCACAAGAATCTCTGGACGCAACATACTTTAACACCCGTTTGTCTAATATATTACCTACAAATATCATAGATGAGAGTGACATTGAAAACGAGACCCTATCTTCATCTTGGAACCAAAATCTTTTTGAAGAACTCTGACATCATCCATATCCGACCATAAAATACCAATACAGGGTCAAAAGAAAACACGCAAAGAAAACATTGTAGATTACTTTGAAAAATCCAACGATTCATTATCAGACGAGGACAACCCATTATCAGCTCAATCAACGGAGGAGATTAAATTCTTTATCAAGAATAAATCAACAGGAAATTTAGAGCCTTACAAGGCTCCTTTAAAAGACACGCCTCACAAACTTGGTTACATCTCGCCTCCTACTGACAGCCTGAAGAACAATCAGATTATCTCGGATTAGAGGCCTAGGATTTAGAGCTATTCTCAGTAACACGAAGAAAAGAGTCAACAGTATGGATATCATCAGTAACTTAGCCTCTATCAATAACGCAGGCATAATTTTAATAACAGAACCGAACCTCAAAAAAAGTTTAAGAGACAATTAACTTCGTTTGATAACAAAGTTGCTATCAAAACTAACCGTAACCTTATTGGAGCGCCGGAGAGGTGGGGGAAGGATAGTAATTTCTGCCATTTTCATTGGAAGGACATTACTGTTATTTGGACTGCATTTTGCAATTTGGAACTATACATGCTGGCTCATCTGCAAAAAACACTTATGTGCATAGGGAAACTAATAGCACATACGTTGTTTTTAAACCGGGCCAGAATTTAAAGTTCAAAATTGCAAAATGCAGTCCATTTGTTGCTATTTGAACTTTAAAGACTCCAAACAAGAACTTGAACTGTCACTCCTCAGAATGGAAAAGATCTTGAAAGAAACCAGTAGGAAAACTATTATAGTCGGTGACTTTAATAGTAGATCAATCTCCTGGGGCGATCTGGATACTAATGATAGAGGTAGAGTCGTCAAAGATTGGATGATTTGTAACAATCTTCAGTGCTTGAATGACCCTGATAACTTCATTCCAACGTTTATTGGACATCGGGGTGAATCAGTTATAGATCTTGTCTTTGCAACGGAAGATATCTACAGGGATTTACAGATAAAAATCATGGATGATGAATTCCTTAGTGATCATAAAGCTATCCTGATCACTTATAAGGAAAACGAAGGAATGGCAAATTTCATCTCCAAGCCAGCCGGATGGTTTTTAGATCCGACGAAATACAAAACCTTTAATCGGGAGGTGAAGGTTAGAATCGACCAGGAAGCTGATTTATTAACACCAGAATTATGCAACAAAATCATTTCTGAAAGTGCAGACATAGCATTCTCCAGAAAAGATAAAATTAATAACTTCAAACCTGTTTATTGGTGGAATAACAAGATCAAAAAATTAAATAAGACAAACCAAAGAATCGGATCTAAAATAAAGTATTTTAAAAGCCTCAAAAGACCCACCACGATCCTTCAAGCAAAACTCTCGGATAATAGGAAAATGATTGAAAAAGAAAAAAAATTGATGCTCCAACGCCGTTTAAATAACCCACCTTCGCTTTTTTTCAGCGCTCTTTTGAGCCAAATTCTTATCCAAATATTGTATATTAAAATAACTTTGGTTCACAGAGCTACTAAACACCGTGTTTCCATTTTAAAAAAAAATTCAATTAAAAAACCCATACCTCAAAATGTTTCTACAGATCTGGGTGTTTCCTTGAAAATTTTAAAACCACATCGTGCAATCACCCCTCCCCCCCCCCAAAAAAAAATAAGAAAAAAGGCCAATTAAATAAACCACCACTGTTTTTCCTCAGCGCTCTTTTGATCCGAATTCTCATCCAAATACTGAACGAGCCTTTTCCTGACTTCGTACGTCGGGATAACGGTCTCGATGTATCCTTTGAAGACCACCTTCTCCTTCACGTGGAAGTACCCGTGGTCCAGCAGGTACTTGAGGAGGAGGTTCTTGACGTAAACATTCTTCTCAGCCTTGTTGGGGTTTTCCAACGCGTTCTTCAGGATCCTGATGTTCCGAGAGTTGAAGCTGTACGGTCCATCGACGACTCTCATCTTCGTGTTGTTCGTCGTCAGAGATCCTTCGATGTCCGTCTTCAGGAGGCCCTCCGCGAAGAAGGGTCTCAGGAGTTGCTGCACCTGCCCGGCGTCTTTCCAGTGGGTCTGGAGTTCGCCGGTTTCGAAGTACTTCAGGATCGAGATCATATTGTAAAGCGTCATGTTGGAGTCTTGGATCGGGTAGCCACCGTACCTACGGAGAGGGAAAGTGGTTATATTGTACTAGTAAACGGTGATATCCTTCATGATATAACTAATATCAATAGAAATTTTCAAGGTCTTTTGATGTTTGGTTCCCTATCCAAAAAAAAGAAGAAGAAAAAAAAACATAGCTTCAGAGGAAATTCGGCAGCGCAAAATGCAGGTAGGCTGATTTCAATCAAATCCGTCAAACTGGTAATGAGAAAAATTAATTTGAATACACCAAGTTGCTTCTTAATAGAATCAGTGAGAACGAAAACACACCAACTCGGAAAAATGAAAAGAATCAAGACACACACGAAACCGATCAGTAAATGAAGAAATTAGTCCAGGAAAGAGATTTTTGGTGCCGAAATACTAGTACTTAAGGGTATTTTAAAGATCCAAGTTGGAACAGATGCGCTAACTTCAATGATTTATATAAAAATTGACCGTCTCTTATGAAAATTGAGCAATTTGAGTTACCGAGTTGGTGTGTTTTTGAACTCACTGATTCAATTGGACCCCAGCTCATTTGTAGAAACATCAATGCAGGCCTGATACATTTTCGAACTCGCAGACATAGCATTATTGCCGTGCTAAGGAAAGATGCAGTATGAACCTTCAGGCGTTGACAAATTTCTACTGATAAAATAAGAATTAAGTAAGAGAAGTTGTAAATCTTCTCCTCAAAATGTTTCAGACAATCTTGCTTGCGGTTCAATCTAAAATATGTGAAAATTTCTAGGATAAATATGTATAAATTTCGTCAAAAATATATTTTTTGGACTCTCGGCTGCTTTTGAATGTTCGAACGGCGTTATTTCTTACCACGGTAGAAAATTCTCTGAATGAATCGCAGATATGCCCATTGGGTCGTTAACGACCCATCGCAGTTTTTGACTTTTGGTGTTGGTGTAAATTAGGGAATATCATTTGTTAGACACAGGATAATCCATGTCTGGGATATAGGCAAGCCTAGCTTATTTTTGTTGTGCCTCAACACGTGTCTACCTTGTCTACGTAACGTCAAAAACAACAAGTAAATAAAAAATCAATTTAAAAATACAAAGTTTTGGGCATATATGAGATAACGGCACTCCAGCGGGGTGATTATTGAAATTGATCGACAAAGCAATGGAGAAAGGAGACAAAAGAGATATGGAGTGATCCTATTGGTGGAGGCGGGCGGTTGCAATGGACAAAGGACGTAGGTAATAGACTAACTAACGGCAACCCACTAGAGACCCGATAGTTAGTCCATCATTTTCTCCCTTAGTCTACAGGAAACACCCATTTCAACCAATAGGATCGCTCTATACTCCTTATGTCTTCTTTGTCTACTGCTTTGTCTATCAATTTTAATGATTGACCCGCTAGTAACGTACCATTCCCGGATCTGCGGCATCTCCGCTTCCTTCCCATATCTCCCGGCCAACTCGAGCACATCCCCCTCCGTAAACCCGTAACACGCAGCGATCTTGGGGTTCTCAGCGAAGTTGACGGTGAGGAGGCTGTTGGCCTCGGTGACGCGCGAGTTGACGTCCGGCGGGATGAGCCGGGCCGAGGCCGTGATGAGGGACTTATGGTGGAAGAAGTTGACCTTGACCAGGTTCACGACGAAGCCCTTGAGGAAGTCGTGGATCTTCTCGACGTCGTCGGCGGCCAGACGCCGGTCGCCGAGCATCTGCCGGAGGGGGGCGTCGAAGTCGTCGACGAGGACGATGCTGCGACGGTCCAGGTGGGAGTGGAGCAGGTGGGTCAGGTCCTTCCCGCGCTGGGTCAGCCAACCGGATTCGTTCTTCGCGGCGACGCGGGTGTAGTCGGATTTCTGATAGGCGTCCAGTCGTCTGGAATCGAAATCAATAGGGTTTTTATATATGTCGAAGGCAATGGAGATGTTACATGTGTGAGGAATTTGCGATTTGACTGTTGATTCTTATGCAAAAGTTTGCGAAAAAAAACGATAGTGCCACTGGTTTATCTCTGAAATCAACTCCCAAGCTCAAAAAAAGCTCTCAAGTTGAGGCCAAAATGGAGGAGATATCCCACGTTATCCTGAGAGTCCACCTCTACATCAAGACAAATTCTCCATGCATAGATAGGGAGCAAATACATGAGCAGGGATGCCGTGTTTTCAGTTTTAGAGTCCCCAAATAAGGTGGTAGTCCTGTCAATGTATTTGCTCTCTATCTTTGCATGGAGAGTTTGTCTTGATGTAGAGGTAGACTCTCAGGATAGCGTGGGATATCCCCTTAATTTTGGCCTCAACTGGAGAGCTTTTTTTGAGCTTTAGAGTTGATTTCAGAGAAAATCAGTGGCACTATCGTGTTTCTCGCGAACTTTTACACAAGAATCAACAGTCAAATTGCAAATTCCTCATACATGCAACATCTCCATTAGCAATCGTAGGCAATTTGTAAGCGGTTCACATGTTGTTTCAATATATCGCAATTATACGCATCGGCATAATGCAATTTTTAAGGGTTACAGTTTTTTAACGTATGCGCTTGGCTTGAATGCGCCCTCATTTTTTGTGATACTCTACGCTTTACCACGATGTTAGTTTAGTTGCCTGTCCGATCTCAACCCAACTAATGTCACCGAGTTCACTGCACGCTCTCCTGAGTGTCTGGGTCGGATTTTCCTACTTGCCGCCCATGGGCCGCCTGTATTTTGCCGCCCCCTTCTCATTCGTTTTGAAAAATCAATAAAAACCATCAAGTGAACGTGCCAGCGGGGGTAGGTGCATAAGACGCGTTTACTCGTGTTGGACACATTTTTTGGCAAAGTTCTGTCAACACTACTAACAAAAGTTCACGGAACTTTGCGCGAAAGTCAAGTTTCGTAAACCTATCTCTAATGGACAAGGCCTTCCATTCATAGGAAATGAACGAAAAAATTATGAAAGAACAAACACAAAATTTGGTTTAATGATTTTAACTTCCGCCGCCGCGCCGACCGCACCGTGTTTGGCGCAATGCGTGAAGTATTCATGCATTCTTGTAGGCGCTATCCGTTTCACGCTGACCACAATAACCGCACTGTGTTTGATGCAATGCGTGAAGTACTCGTGCAGTCTTGTAGGCGCTAATATGTGTTACATGTCGATTGCCGCGCCGAGGGCTTCTCCTTTTCATCTCATGTCCTCGTCATCATTTCTCCTTAAGTCGCGCCGTTCCAGGCCAAATTGTGTGTTTGGTCTCTCTCTTAACTCGACTAATCAAAGGTGCTGTCTCTTGCTACCACTGAAAGACGACAAAATTAGAAATTACTATGCTCTCAGGAAATGAGAGATTTTGTAGCCTTTTCTCGTTTGTAATTTTTTATTCTAAATCCGATTTTTTTTATACCTACATTTAAAAAATTGTAAAATTTGCCGCCATGGGCCACGGCCCAAGTGGCCACCCCTTTAATCCGGCCCTGCTGAGTGTGCATATTTCTGCCATGTTTTTGAGGATGGAAAAGTGTCTATTCACGTTATAGGCAACATAATCATTAATCAGCACTGTAATCTTGTTCTTTTATTTTTGAATTATATGGTTTTCTATATTTATTCACCACCGGCTTGCAAATTGCCGGCGATTGCTAATCGCCTGCAACATATAGATTACAGTTTGCAATAAGGAGCCACTGTCTGGCTTTTTTTTAGAAACAGCATATCGACGACGTAAAACCGCATCCACGCATCTCGTTTGTGGTGTTTGAAAATTCCCGCTTCTATTTTATTTTTTCAAGGGAGAACAAATCGACATCACTTTTTGAGGTTTCTGCAGCATTTTCTTGGCACTGAGATGAAAAATCCGGTAGTTTTAAAGAATTGCCGTGGAGTTGTTTTTCATTTAAGAAATGAAGTACGATAGGAAGTCCACGGCGTCGCAAATCGAGATACGTGCACCGTCGATATGTGTCGTTGGTTTCCCTATGCAGAAAGGTGCCTTTATAGAAGAGCTAGAGATAGTGGTTCTTTATTAAAAAATTTAATCCATATGTGACCGGGAGCTTATTTTCGCAAAGTTTGAATTTGAGTTTTTCGTACCATTGTATAGAGTTGAAGCATTTGGAAATGTTGACGCAAATTTGACCATAAAAGCTTTAGGCCGTGTTTCTAAAAATTGAATGAGATACGACGTTCAAAGTCGCAAGATAAATCTTCTCAAGTTTTAGGTTAAATTTTTGGGTCAACAAGTTTTAGGTTAAATTTTTGGGTCAACAAGTTTTAGGTTAAATTTTTGGGTCAACAAGTTTTAGATCAGAGTTAAGTTAAGAATTCTGACATGCGCACAAGAAAGAGGCAGCTACCGTGAACCAATCTGCAATCCGGTGAATCGATTGACAACTCCGGGAGTAGATCGATCGGTTCACTTTTATTTTCGATCGATTCATGTCGATCAAATCCATACCCTCAGTTCAGTAAGGAGAATGGTTCCATCGTTACGATGGACGCTACTTTTTAGTGTAAGAAACAAAAATTGATATTTGACAGTTTACAAGAGGATCTATCTTTGCCCTTTGTTGCATGAGCTAATCGTTAATTTTGGAGAGAAAATCTACATTGTACAGTATTTTTTCGACAATAGTCAGTTGGAATCGATTTTTGTAGTTTTTTTTTTAAATTAAGGAGATCAGACATATAATGCTGCTCAAAAATCATTTCATGCTTTGATTCAATTTAACACTGGAAAAAAAACACATTGGATCTAGAGCGAAGACTCATGAAAACATTGACAAGAAAAAGGACTCTTGATTCAATCAAATTTAAGCTTAAATCAAAAGGAAATCAAATTAAGAGGCTTGGTTTTTGATTTAAGCTAAAATCTGATTGAATCAAGAGTTCTTTTTCTTGTCAATGTTTTCAAGAGTCTTCACTCTAGATCCAGTGTGTTTTTTTTCCAGTGAATACTCCAATATGGAAATAAAGCTAAAATCCATTTGTTGCTTTCATGCAACTTTATGCAATAAATTAGTCTCTATCAATTATCTCTCTCTATTTTATACGGAAAAGAAACTGGCCATCCTACATTTACAACAAGCAAATGAATATACTCACGAGGAGTCAGCCAAGTAGCTGTGCTCAAGGTAAGCTTCACTGAGAACTTCCTGGAACGACTTGATAAAATCCGAATACCCTCTCCCGACGTCCAACCTATCGAAGCGGAAATGCACAACCGGATAGAGACCGAAGTACTTGAACAAGAACTTTTCGTCTTTCATGATGGCGAGCTTGTAGTCGGAGAGGAGCTTCCTATTGCTGGTGGAGTTCCGATCCAGGGGTGTCCCATCAGAGTCGACTTGGACTTGGCAAAAGGTCTTCAACATGTTCATGATGCTCGTTTTGCCGAACCCTCGCGGCGCCGTGACGTACATCGTGTATTCGCTGTATTCCATGCTCTCGAAGAACAGGTTCACGAACGCACTTTTGTCGACGAACGACTTGGAGCGTAGCAGGGCAGGGAAACTGTCTCGGTTGGGATCAAATGGTGGTTTTGGCGGTGCCTGAGAAAGCTGTGAAAGGAAATGGCCTGGTTACACGTTCAAATTTCCGTCAAATTCCGATCAAAATGATGACCAGGATAGCGGTCGAGAGTTATCTAGATTATTGATGAGTAATAAAATTAATTAAAACAGCGTGTTGATTGAGATGAGCATGAAATAAGCACGGTTGTGTGGAAATCAGATGAAGGATGAGCCCCACAGCTCCATCATCTACCATCAAATTTTTGCAGGCCGCAGAAATTTGATGGTAGGTGGTGCGCACCAGTCACCATTTGATCGGAAATTGATGGAAATTCGAGCGTGTAACCAGCACAAAAAGCAAGAAAGGGTTTTAAGCACATTTTGTCGCTCCTCCGACGTATATCGTATAAGCTGCCGTGCTGGGGAAGAACCATACAGGGTGGCAGGAAACGTTAGAAAGAAATGAAATTTTGGAAATTTCAGTGAAATATTTCATGAAAATTCACGAGGTTGTGAAATATTTCATATTTTTCAGGAGGTAGAGTATGCAACCCGCACTCAGAAACACGAAAATAAAAGAAAGTCACAATTTTCACATTTTGCGAAACATGAAAAGGAACCGAGATATTTTTCACATAAATTTCTGAAATTTCATGAAATATTTCACGTGAAACAAGATTTTATTTTTCATGAAATTTTGCCGACCTGGCCGTATACGCCTTCAGACGTTGCCATATTTCCTTCAATAATAACCGAATTTACTGGAAATTGTCAACATTTTTCTTTATATTTTCCAGAAAATTCTTTCAGCAATTTAACCTAAAATATCTGAAAATTTCATAGAGAAACAAGCATTAATTTCCTTACAAATACCTGTTTTATATATCAGGAGAAATTCGGCAACTCTTGAATGTTTATACGGCGTTTTTCCGTGGCACGGCAGTAAGGGTGTATCTCAATTGGACGTATTTCTATCAAACGGAACTATGTGGTTTATGACGTGAGCCTCGTTATGCACATATTTTTATGGGTCTCAGGGTTCATGTCTTAATGCACATAGTTCATTTTGATTGAAATACGTCCAGTTTTTACATGAGTCCATGCTTTCCAGGTCTCAAGTAAAATAGCAATACGCGCTTCCGACAGAGGAACAATAATTTGTGCACACCCTTGTCGAAACGCGACCGTTGAAAGGGCGGACTTTTCGAAAACTCATGCAAATATTGTAAACAATAATGTGTAGAAAACGGTTTTTTTGTGTTTAATTTACTATAAAATAAATTAAATATTTTAAAAAAGAACATATTTTTTAGGAGTTTTCCACAATTTTTTCAGAAGTTTTACCTAAGTGTTAAAATGCTATAGTAGCGTATTCAGTAATTTTTATTAAGAGCAATTATTTTAGGTATATCAGTAAATTAGGTGTCATTACAGGTTTAATACATCCACATAATATCTCTCTGCGTTGAAACAAAAGTACGATACACACAATAGTGTGTCTAATAAGGAACGTGTTTTCAAATGTAATGTACTCAATATTAAACTGGGGGGCTTTTTCAAATGTAATGTGCTCAATATTAAACTTTAGGCTTCACTTAGCATGTATAACAGGCTTTTGGGCTATCCTCTGTCTCGGATAGTTCCTCTTTGTAAAATCAAAATAAATTATTTCTTCATTCAAAAAAAAAAAAAAAAAAAAAAAAAAAAAAAAAAAGGAACGTGAATTCAACACAATGACGTAAAATGTAAGTTCCTTTGAAGCATTTCAAGAAAACTATTCAAAATTTTTGAGAAGTAGTACTTATTTGCATTTCTCGTTATAAAATGTTCTTGAGCTATCTAAACGACAAAGAATTCAAATGTTAATAAGTAGTTTTGAGCTTTCAAGAGAAGTGTTTACTTACTTGGCACATGGTAATTGGTAAAGTTAAAACCACCATTAAAATGCAATATTTCATTTCTATATGTCAAGGTATTCGCACAATCTATGGAAAAACTCCTTTGAGTATTTATTGTACAAAAGAAAATACCACATGGAACCAAAAATTTGCATTTCTAAACACCACTTCAAGAATAGCATTTTTTTTTCAAAACTAAAAATTCGCGGCGATCTCGATTCAACAGTTAGTTGCAGAAATAACTTATACTGAGCGACCGGGCTCTTAACGAAGCTGAATTACTGTGTGAAGAGAGAGTAAGCTAAGCAAAAGGCTCACGCTTGTTTATCTGTGTGTTGCCAGGCTTTGTACCAATATCATTTGAAGTATGATAAGCATCCGTGATACGTTGATAGATTTCGTTTGATGATTTAGAATTTGGAACTGAACGAAGAAGAGGAAGGTCAAAATTAGTGGAGCTATGTGAGCAAACTTCAATTAAACCCTTTAGTGGGTTGCGTAAGCGCTTACATGCTCCTCAATTTGTTTGAGTGTGATGCGTTTTTTAAATTGAAAAAAGGAGTAAAAGCCTTAATGATAGTGATGACGTCATTCTTAAATGCTTCGGATGATAATCTAAATTTGGCTGAAAAATGAATGCAAATGAATGATTTTTATTTTGCGAAAAGGGACCACTATTTATTTTCTGGCTCATTTTAGAAACAATATATGTGGCATATGCTATCCATGTAGATACGCGCTTTTATGAATGAGGCAGAGGTATTGTTTCCGTACCAAAAAATCTAGTCCAAATGGAATTTTACAAACTTTCATACTCAATTTCGATGTAACGATCAAAGTGGACGGCAAGAGTGACAAAAGCAAATCAAACAAGCACCGAAAACGAAATGAATAATCGAAGACAGACTAAAAAAAAATCATAGATTCCAATGGCTTTACCTCATTAAAATGAAAACGTCATCATATCCAATGGTTTCATATCGGAAATGATTATGATTATTTTATGCAGTTTACGCTCAATTCGAACAATAGTTCGGATAAGAGTTTTTTTTCTATCTCATGGGTTGAAGGGGGGTTGAGATACAAAAATAGTGGCCAAAAACTATGGGTTATTTAATACGTGTCTTCAGTGAGGTCGGTGTGAATTTTTTCAACGAAAATTACATTAAACGCCATCGAACATATTTTAAATACTACAGTTATATTCGAAGCTGTGGTCGCAAAATGAAACTTGTTCGAATCCACATTGTCATTATATGTTGAGCTAACCGGATTTTTTTTCTTTGCGAATTTCACAAATTTACCCCGTGTATAACCAACACGGATGGACATTTTCACCGCAGGAAGAATGTACCTGCCATTGTTACCAATTTGGTAAAATCGCTAGGAATTCTAAAAGCTGACGTGAATTACATATTTTGAGCTCGAAACTGGGCAACCCCGTTGATTTACTTCGCCATTTAGTTTTTCTTTCAATTACTGCAAATTTGATTTGGCCGTGTACTCGTATGACGGTGATGCGGAACGATTTGAAAAATTGAATTAAGCATGGGCCTAAACGAATGGAAAAAACCTCTCATTGATGCTTCAGTGAATTTAAGCTTTTTTATCGGTTTATTTTAACCAAGACTGAGGTATTTTTGTCGGACACTTTTTTCCAATCGAGTTAAAATCAGAGTTGATTAGGCCGGTGTATACCGAGCGGGTGACATGAATTTAAAAATGAATACCGTCCTTTTGAAATGCAGGTATATTTTAACCACTCTCGAATCTAAACTACAAACTGATAGTGTCTATTCTCCCAGTTTTTTCCAAGTAGATAATATTTCTACGTAACGTTTTCTACGTAAGATTTTGGGGAGAAATCATTTAAATGACCAAACAACGAAACCATGTATCTTTGTTTGCGATGTTGCAGACTTCATGCCATACTTTATTTTTTCTTTGGAAAACTAGCCGACGTATTTTTGAAGTATTGCCGTATTTTTTTTTCTGTAAACAGGATATTCTGTGCATATGAAGCTGGCTTGTTTTTCCTAAAAAAATATATATAATAGGAACGACAATTTTAAAACATCGCAGTGGAGGTCCGTAGTTTTGCACTTTGACTATCTATGTGACTTTTTTCAGGTTAGACTTTGTCTAGTGACTCACTGTATTAATGTTAAAATAGTATAATTTGATAGACTCTTCAAAAAACATATCGATGGCCCACGTTCGAAACCACGTATCTTTGTTTGACTTAGCGACGTTGCAGACATCCTGTTAAAATTTATTTTTTCTTTTGAAAACCAATCATGCGATTTTTTGAAAACTTTTTTCATCTTTCCTCTCTATCAACAGAATATTTCGTATAAATTAATTTAAAGCTCTAAAGTTGGCTTGTATCGCTTCGAAAACGTAAAATAGGAGTGGAAATTTTAAAACAATCTAATGGAGATACTTGGTTTTGTCCTTCAGCCGTCTATGTCAAAATTATATGCATTATTATTTAGGTACATTTTACGTAACTGTTGCTTGATTATTGAAATCGATAGACAACGCTATAGACAGAGAAGACAAGAGGGAAATGAAGCAAGCCTACTTGTAAAAGTAGGTAGTTGCAATGCCCAAAGAAGGTAATTAATAGACTAACTAACGATGAACCCTCAAGGAACTCTAGTTACTCCATAATTTTACCCCTCAGTCCAAAAAAAAAACCACCCGCGTCGACTTTGAGGATAGCTTCATTTCCCCTTTGTCTTCTTTGTCTATCGCTTTGTCTATCAGTTTCAGAAATGAGCCCGCTGAAAAGTGAATGCGCCATCACAGCACATTCCTCGGCTCATTGGAATGCGAATCTTTATACATATGCTGCCGTGCTAAGGATAAACGCCGTAAGAACCTTCAGTTTCTTTTCCGCAAAAATTTCTTTTGGCAAATTATTAATTTCCAGGAAAGTTTTTAAATAATTTTCCGCCAATTTTTTATATAATTTTGTTTGTAATTTGATCTAACGTGTCTGAAAAGTTCAAGAAAAAATATTCATAGCTTCTCTCATAAATAAACATTTTATCTAAGAAAATTTGGCAACTCTCAAATGTTCATACGGCGTTTTTATATAGCACGGAAGTTTGATACTTTTACTCCTCTCGTCGGTAATTTTTGGAATAACCTGGCAATCTTCGTCGAAGTCACAGCTACAAAGCGAGAGGGATAGCTGCAACAGGAAATGTACGATCTTCCCCTCCCGGAAAATATATAATGGCTCCAATAAGTGAGGGAGGGCTCTAAATGGAATTTATGGAGGGTCTTCTTAAACTTTCTTCAATTTCTTCACCCTAAAAAGTTTAGACCGCATTTTATGGCGGGGGTGTCTTCTCAATTGGGATGTGCGCCCTCTAATTTGAAATTACTCCTGCAATTCGTATCAAACTTGCGTGCGTTCTAGTGACCTGAATCGTCGTCGTTGAACTGGGTTGTTTTTCCCTGTTTTTAAGGCTCTTTCAGGTCTTTAAGATAATTTGTATGAATTCACGTTTTCATCGTTTCGAATGTCTTCCTTATTCTCACTTTTTATGGTACCAAAAGGGCTATTTCAGATGAAATATTCTGAAATTCCAAGGATGTCTTTCCAGTTTTATTTCCATTCTTAAAATTAAGCGTTTTCCGATAAATTGCAGTCTATTAAAGCAAGGTTGTCTCGCTTAAAAATCCCATTATTTATCATAATGTATGAAAAAATGAAAATACCCTGAAAGGAAAAGACATACATATAAATTTGAAAATAAAAATGAAATTCATAGTAATTCAGTTTAAAAGTTGTGATACAACCCTGCCGTTATAGCGAAGAGAGTAGTAAGTGCAAAAATGAAGTTTTGAGGAAACGGGCTCAGAAGCTTCTGACCGGGAAATTTTATTGAAAGAAGCCTATGTTCGTAGTCAAATTGCCACTAATCATTCGAAAGACTCCTAGAAATTGTTAAGATGATTTAAATAAACAGATTTAATTTCAGTTACATAACAAAGGTATTTTTCATTCATGCTAGGTTCTTGTTAGGCAAGACAGCCTTAAGTGCTACTTCTGCATGCTTTTGTGGTTGCGTTTTGGACACACAACAAATACATTTTCAGGTTAGAAATTCGCACACTGAAAAAAAAGTCGCTTGGATCTAGAGTCCAGACTCTTGAAAACATTGACAAGAAAAAATACTCTTGATTCAATCCAAGTTTTGCTTAAATCAAAAGGAAATCCGCTCAAATTAAGAGGCATGGTTCTTGATTTAAGCAAAAATCCGATTGAATCAAGAGTATTTTTTCTTGTCAATGTTTTTATGAGTCTGAACTCTAGATCCAATGTGTTTTTTTTCCAGTGCAGAAGGGCGCGGCTCTTTACTTGAAAGCACTGTTTTCATTGACTCTCTGGAGGAATATTGTCATTTACTGCTGTCTGCCTAATACTACGTCATTTCTTACATAATTGTGGCTTTTGCATTATGTCTCGTTTTTATAGAATTAAGATGAACTTCGCTGTTTTAGCTATTTCAGTGATTCCATCCAAAAGAGCTTAGACGAATTTTGAAGGAAACTTGATTTCGAAAATTTGACACTTGCTGCTGTCTTCGCTATCACGCCAGGATTGGTTTGCCCAGATCATCCTTTTGCACCAATGACCGATCAGACACTAATATCACATTAATTTACAGGGTTAACAGAATTGGCACCAGTGAAGATTGGAAGATTAGTGCACTGCTCGGAACAGTAGCAGCATTTTAAGCCTCTTCACTGTGAGGCTAATTGAGGTATCGCTCAGGCTTTGTGGAGGGGCCGGCGCGACATACCCTAATCCGCGACAGAAAATTGACTGATAACAACAGGTCACCGAAACTGTCCTCGCACTTGACAGAAAGGCAGGCTTTTTGGCCTGCCCGTTGAAAGAAATATGAGCTACGATCTTTTGAGTTGTGTGAAACGTGACCGCGTGAAATCATGCTCTGAGTTGGAAAGTTCCCATCAATTAGTGGACCATGGAGTCTCTGGCCCTTGATATATTTGAGTGATTGGGCCTGGATTGCTGCCATATTTAGACCGTATTCAGCACGAAGAGCAGATTTTCTTTGGAATCTTTATTCTTCAGAATTCACTGTTCATATAGTTCGCAACGCTTTAAGGGTAGAGGAGTGCGCCATTTTGTTTTTACGTTTAATAGATGAGGAACTTTTTTTTTTTAAATTATACAATATAAGTACTTCAATTGCCATTACATAATTTATGGTACTTATCAGTATAGTTTAAGGTTAATATCGAGGGGTTAACTGTGCATAACGTATGATAAGCAAAAAAATAATCCTATCATACAATTGA